GGATCTCGAAAGCTGGGATCTTAAAAGCTGGGATCTTGAAAGCTGGGATTTTAAAAGCTGGGATTTCGGAAGCTGGGATCTTGAAAGCTGGGATCTTGAAAGCTGGGATCTTGAAAGCTGGGATTTTAAAAGCTGGGATCTCGAAAGCTGGGATCTTAAAAGCTGGGATCTTAAAAGCTGGGATCTCGAAAGCTGGGATCTTGGAAGCTGTTGTATAATCTTGAAAGCTGGGATCTTGAAAGCTGGGATCTGGAGAGCTGTTGCGTAATCTTAAAAGCTGGGATCTGGGATCTGTATGATTTAGAAAGCTGGGATTTGGAAAGCTGTTGTGTAATTTAGAAAGCTGGGATTTTGAAGGCTGGGATTTTAAAAGCTGGGATTTTGAAAGCTGGGATTTAGAAAGCTATTATATAATTTAAAAAGCTATTATATAATTTAGAAAGCTATTATATAATCTGGAAAGCTAGGATCTAGAAAGCTATTGTAGGATCTCAAAAGCTAGGATCTAGGATTTATATAATTTTAAAAGCTGGGATTTAATCCTAAAAGCTGGGACCTTAAAAGCTGGGATTTGGAAAGCTATTGTAGGATCCTGAAAGCTGGGATTTAGAAAGCTGTTATATAATCTGGAAAGCTAGGATCTGGGAAGCTTGGGATTTGATTTTAAAAGCTAGGATTTGGAAAGCTGGGATTTCGAAAGCTGGGATTTAGAAAGCTATTGTATGATTTGGAAAGCTGGGATTTGGAATACTGTTGTAGGATTTGGAAAGCTGTTGTATAATTTGGAAAGCTGGGATCTAGAATGCTGTTATGGGATCTGGAAAGCTGGGATCTTGAAAGCTGTTATGTAATTTTAAAAGCTGGGATCTTAAAAGCTGGGATCTTGAAAGCTGGGATTTTAAAAGCTGGGATTTTAAAAGCTGGGATCTTAAAAGCTGGGATTTGGAAAGCTGTTGTGGGATTTTAAAAGCTGGGATCTTAAAAGCTGTTATAAGATTTAAAAAGCTAGGATCTTAAAAGCTATTATATAATCTTAAAAGCTAATATTATATAAAGCTAGTTTATTATAGTTTTAAGAGGAGATGTAATCTTTATATTATCTATATACTAAAGTTAGCTATAGTATTTTATATAGGAGCTAAGGGAATTTTATTTTACTTACCTATAGCTTATATTTCCCTATAGTACTTATATAAAATAAGAAAAAGAAAAAGGGAAGTAAAAGTATTACTATATATAATTTCCTTTACTTCTATTCTCTTCTTTCTACCTGCTTACCTACTAATACTTTAGAATACTAATGCTATTATATAAAACCAGTAAGTTCCTATATTACCTAAAGCTATATTTTCCTCCCCGCCAGCTATTATTATTACTTTATTATATACTTATATAAAATCTAAGAGTTCCTCTTTTCTGCCTTAATATCCTTTACTTATTATATTATACTATAAAATAAAGTATTATACTGTAGTTTATATATAATACTAGTTTATTATAAAGTTCTATTTACTAAAAGCTACTATAAAATATTACTAATACTGCTAAGCTATTTTATATATTTTCTATTTATCTTAATTAATCTCCCCTATTCTTAGTTAATCCAGTAATTTTACCTTTCCCTCTCTACTGCCTATATATTTATATAATAAACAGCTAGTTTTCCAGTAGCTAAATGGGATTACTACTAGTCCCTTAATCCTCCTTATTCTCCTTTAACTCCCCCTTATATATAAATTAACTACTACCTTTAACCTTAAAGTTATACTTATTATTATTATTATTATTTAAGCTAATTAGGTTCTTAGTAAATCCTAAAGTTATTTAGTATTAGCCCTAGGCTTAGCTTTAGCCTTAGCCTTATTTTTATCCTTATCCTTACTGCTGGCCTTAGCCTTATTATACAGAATTACCTATATTATTACATCCAGAGTAGTAAGCAGTATAATCCTGCCACTTATAATTCCTATAGCTACCGCCAAAGTAGCCAGAGAGTTATACATAAGTAGGGAAGGGATTAATATAACTATTAGGATTTAATATTATCTTCTCTCGGTAGGCATTACACAGAGGGTTAGTAGTAATACCTTAACTCTAAATAAGAAAAGCATTAATATATAAGTTATATATACCTATAATTTAGTTTAATTATATATAGTTATAAAGGAAAGTTATAATACAGCTAGAGAGTTAAAGGATAATATTTTGCAGAAAGTTCTTAATATATAGCTGCAGCTGCTACTAGGCTATGTTAAAATTAAAGAGGTATATATTACTAATTAAGAAGTTATTTATAAGACTTATTAGCGGTAGTAGCTGGGGAAAGAGGAAATAAGGTTAGCTTTTATATAAAAGAGCAAGAGATAAAGAGATTCTATTAGAAGCAGAAAGTAAAAAGCAGAAGGTAAAAAGCAGAAAAAAGAAAAAGGGAAAAGGGGAAGAAAAAAAATAAGGGGAACTTATGCTATTAGGATTTAATAGCTGCTGGCGGAAAGCTATAAGCTAGGTATTATTCTAGCTAGAAAATAAAGAAAGGGAATTAAAGTTAGCTGCTGGGATTTATATAGAAGAGGGAGAGTAAAGGGGAAAAGAGTAAGTAAGGGAGTAGGGGAATGGGGAAATATTTAGCTATTATAGTATTAGTTATTATATAAGAGTAAAAGCTGTAGCTATTGGTTAGTAATAGCGCTGTATAATTTATACTATGCTATAGTAAAGAGTAGTAAATTTACTTATTAGCAAGGGGAAAGAGAAGGAGTAAGGGAGAAAGAGATATAATTATTTTATTTTTACTGTATAATTGAAAGTATTAGCGGTTAGAAGAGTAAATAGTACTGCAAAATATAAAGTAAGCTTATGCACTGTAATTTATATGTAACGTAAGGTTAATATACTGCTAATATTTACCTCTCTCTTTCTTTACCTTTCTTCCTCTTAATAATAATTTACTATAAAGGCAGTAGCTTAGGCCCCCTTTATATAAAGTTATTTAGCAGTAATGCGCTACTGCTATTATATTATATTCTTTTTTTTTCTTCCTATCTTCTATCTAAATACTTACTAGCCTAAATATTTTAAATACTTATCTGTATAAGAAAGTATACTGTCTATAGTCCTAAGATTTAGTATAAAGATAGTATTTAAAAGTAAAAGTATTTAAAGGCTATACCTCCTAAAGCTACTAGCTTAAATACTTACTTATATAAGATAGCTGTAATAAATCCCCCCTGCAATTAGTTAATTAAATATATATAGAAGCTAAAAACTAAGATTAAAAAAGAGTATTTAAAAGCTATTATATAAAAATGCTGCTGCTAAACTACTGATTAAATATATATAAAAACTAAAGACTAAGATTAAAAGTAAAGTATTTAAATACTACTAGCCTAAGCTGGGATTTAGGATTTATATAATTCTAAAAAGCTGGAATTTAATTTTAAAAGCTGGGATTTAATTTAGAAAGTTATTGCGTAATTTTAAAAGTAGGGATTTTAAAAGCTGTTGTATAATCTCGAAAGCTGGGATCTAGGATCTATATAATTTTAAAAGCTAGGATCTGGGAAAGCTATTGTGTAATCTTAAAAGCTAGGATCTTAAAAGCTAGGATCTTAAAGGCTGGGATCTTAAAGGCTGGGATCTTAAAGGCTGGGATCTTAAAGGCTGGGATTTTAAAGGCTGGGATCTGGGAAAGCTGTTATATAGTTGGTTTTGAAAGCTGGGATCTAAGATTTATATAATTTTAAAAGCTGGGATTTAATCTTAAAAGCTGGGATCTTAAATACTGGGATCTTAAGAGCTAGGACTTTGAAAGCTGGGATTTGGAAAGCTATTGTATAATCTTAAAAGCTGGGATTTAATCTTAAAAGCTGGGATTTAGAAAGCTGAGATTTTAAAAGCTGGGATCTTAAAAGCTGGGATTTAGAAAAGCTGGGAT